ATTTCGCCCGCATGTCGACGGAGATGGTGGTTCCTCGTCAGGGTTGTCGTCTCCATTTTGTCTCTCGGCTACTACCTTCCCGGCCTCCATGAGATAAACCCCTCGAAGAGTGGGAGTTAAATCGTCAGATGTAACAAGTTTAGTTCATGACTGACCAACAGCTCTTTCGAGATTGTCTTTGGTGATGATCTCTTCTAGTTTGTTGAGGGAGTCAATCAGAGCTAATCCTGTTGGTAGCTGTGCAAGTTGCGGTAGGCATTGTTCAATGGTGAGTCCTGTTGATGCCTGCACTGACTTGGAGAACACTAATGCTTGCCCTGCCACAAAAGCCGATTCTCGAATGAGAACACTGCNTCGTAATTCCAAGCCCCCCTTCACGTATGGGCAGGTGCACCTGTGCCCGAGCTGAACCTTTGAAGAAGTCGACCTCACTCTTCTCTGGGTTTGCGCGTACCTCTTCCACGGTTGGAATTCCCACAGTGTTTGCCATTTTGCCTAGAACGATCTTGTGTGTGTGTATGTGTGTGTGTGTGTTTATTATTAGCATCGACCGCGCTAACCGGCTGACCAATGAAAAGACGTCAGTGCCAGCGGGTAAAAATCAAGGTCCGTCCCTGGAAGGAGGCCAAAATTCGAAACATGCGCAATGCGCTTGATGCGAATGCCAATACGACTCTCTCTACATGTTCTTTCGCGAAGACAAACATCTCAGCTTCACACATGCCCTCGCCCGAACCTAGGAAGCCACTGATGCAAAGAGCGGAGGACAGCAAAAGGGTTATTTCAAGCCCAGCCGAAGCCAGGATATCGTGGTATGCTGCATCTCCCAATTTGATAATCGTACACTCCCAAGATCCAACAGTCATCGTGTCAGCAGCTAGATTACTCAAACAAAATAGCAACACATACACGGCCATAGCTCCACACATGCCCTCGTCCGAACCTAGGAAGCCACTGATGCAAAGAGCGGAGGACAGCAAAAGGGTTATTTCAAGCCCAGCCGAAGCCAGGATATCGTGGTATGCTGCATCTCTTTGATGATTGTACACTCCCTCCCAAGATCCAACAGTCATCGTGTCAGCAGCTAGGTGACTCAAACAAA